ATTTACAGAACTCTGCTTTAGTTTTGCTAGCAAGACAAAACTTATACTTCAACAAGCGTATTCACCATATACTTGCACATCTCCCTTCTTCTATTACTGCTGTTACCCTGTGTTCGGTTGATGATTTCATTGTGAGCAGAATGTGATGATGATGATGATGATAATGGCCTGATTCATGGTATAAAATTAGTATAACAAAGTTAAACTGTTGTTGTTGATATTACATTTTTAAATCTTTTTACGGTCAGTATTCAAATGTTGCCAAAATACAAGTGAGAATTGTTTTAAAACTAATAAACTGCAAGCTTAATTTGAAAAAAAAAAAAAAGAATTTTTACTCTTACAACATTCAAATTTTAGTTTTGTGCATTAATTTTGTAAAGAGGCTATTTGTTTAGTTGTTTTTTATTTGCTTTTTTGTCCCCCCCCCCAAAAAAAAAACAAAACTTATAAACCTTCAAAGTTAGTTTTGGAAATTGAAAAGTTGCATGAATATCATGTAAAATCCTCAAGATTGCATTAAATTAATCAACCCAACAGATGAGGATTAAGATTTCTAAGTCTTGTAAAATGGCTTCTGGAATTTTGTTTCTCACAATATAAAAATAGTTGATCATAGAAGAATAAATTATTTCTTATTTTGGATACTCGTGTGAAAATGAACAGCATTAGAATGCATTGCTTTATGTGGTTGCATTGCATTGACTTTAACTGTTGGTTTGAAGATTCACAATAAAGCTCTATTGCTTTTTCTTTGATAAGCCTTGAGAGGTTTTCAGAAACTTCTTTTTGCAGAGAAATGCACATTTTCATTGTATGTAATTGTAACATTTACTGCAAGGTATTTTATTATCTCAGTTTTTTAATACTGGAAAGTCTCAAGCTTGTCACTTATTTCATACTAGCATAGTACCCATAAAAAATGGAATTATTTATGTAGGATCTGAATAACTGTTCACTCTTTCAAGGATAAGTGTAGTATCTATGCACTCTTTGAAGAAGTATTACATGCACAAACACTGCATTTTATATATCTGTGGATAATGACGCTCATAGGAATCAGGTTAAATTGGCAAAAATTGGTTTTGTGTTTTTGCAGTTATTCAAGAATATATACCTTCTGCTATTAAGTTAGAACTATTTGATTTCTTTTTATTAAGCTGAATATTTTTTACTTGGACATTTTTTTTCTCTTTGAAAAAAAACTTGAAGTAATATTTTAGAAATGCTTTTCACGTTTTGTCAGCACTTGAATATTGACTTACTTTTTAGTAATTTTCTTTCCAATACTTTTCCATAGATAATTAATTGCAAGACTTTTAAAGCAAGCCTTTTTCAAAGGCATTTTTTTTCTTTTAACAATTCATCCTAAATTTATATGAGTAGAAAAGGAAAAGCATAACAAATATATAAATAATTATTTAAAAATAAAAATAAAATTTCTTAATATGGTAAACTTTCAACATTGAGTCCTTATAATAACTAATTACAAATGCATTTCTATTGCAAAATATTTCTATGGAAAATCAATTGCAATGTTTTACAGTAAAGAATGTTATCAAGGTATTTTTTTTCACTGTTTGGTAACATTCGAATATTAATCCTGTTATTTATTTTTAATTGTCTGATACTGGAGAAGAGACTGCCTTGGATGTAAACAAGAGTTGACAATCATTCAGTGATTTTTATTTTTTCAGACTAACATTCTCAACTTTGTAACAAAAGATAGGAACAAAATATCTTGATTTTAATTAAAATCTAAAATTTATTGTTGACATGCCTGAGGAAGGTGGGAGAATACACATGCCAGAATTTTGTAATGAACAAGGATGCTAGAAAAAAAAATTAGTGGAACCTCCTTTCAGACAAAAATGATTTATTTATTTAGCTGTATTTTGGGTTTTTTTTTTTTTTTTAATGAGATTTTAAAAGAAGAATCGATCCTAAGAATGGGATTGTTTTATTTCACTTTGCTAAAAACATGAAGATTTAAGTCTTTGAAAGGCAGGAAGAAAGATTTTCAATGGTATATACTTCAAAAGACTATGATGGTCAAAGGCTTGAAAGGTTCATGGTTGTAAAACTAATGAACTTTCTTTTTCTTTTTTTTTTTTTTTTTCAATTATCTAAATGTTTAGTGTATAAGATTTATGATGCAAATGTGTTGCAATAAGATCTGCCCATTCACATGAACTAGAAAAGGACCCCCATAGAAAAGAGGGAAAAAAAAAAAAAAAGCAAATATATCTCACCCACCCTAAATATAAACAATGTTTACAATACTTAACACATTTCTATCATTTAAAAAGAATAAAAAAAAAGCATTCCAGCATTAGATCATACGACTTAAAACAATTCTGTAATTATTGATGATAAATTTGCAAAGAATGGCAGTTAAGGTTCTACTCAATGTATGTATATTGATAGAGATATGTGTGTGAAGGGGGGGGGTGTATTTTCCTGCACAGCTGCTTAAATGAAATGTTACACCAGGCTCTCCCCCCCCCTATACACACACACACACACTTCAGATGCTTCTCTTTTTGAGAACACCAAATACAACATAATCATTCTAGCTTCAAGAATAAATTAACGGTATTGCCTGGGACATGAGCCCAATATATTAAATTTAAATCACTGGGTTGGGTAGGTATAGAGATATTTGTGACAAGTTAAATCATTCTTTACAAAATGATCCTAATTTTTCCTTTTAACATAACCTAAAGAAGTGACCACACCCTCACATTTTCTGGACGGAAAACAAGCAAGGATCATCTAACTGAATACAGTCTCCAGAAGAAAATTTCAGCTTTTCTAGGCAGGCAAGCAATCTGGGATACACCCACCACTTTTAAAAGCTTCAGTACCCCAGTATTTTATCTTTCAGCAAATGTATAAACATTTTTGTTCATGGCTCTCTCATGCATCTGACACCTTGCTCATCATACGAAATCTCTACATCATAGGATGAAATAATTATGAATGTGCCAATGGCTCCACTGCTGAATTTTTTTTGTACTTATCCTTCTGCCAGAATCTGGTGTTTGCTTTTATGCTATTGAATTCCTCACACCTGTGGAAGAAGAAAACCATTGCTGTTGCACTTTCTAATGAATGGGAAGAAAGCCATTGTAAATAAACTCCTTTATTTTTATTTATTTTTTTTTTTTGCTGTTTGTCAAAGAGAGAAATTTTGGTGAGGCCTGTGAAGGAATTTAGAAAGAACTGTTTGCAATTTTCCATTATGTGTGGTTGGAAGGTAGAAACCCACAAGAATAGATTTGTAATTCATGTCTCTCTCTCTCTCTCTCTTCAAAGGGCTTTGACATCATCTATGATAACTACCAAAGGATCCATCTGCTATCAATTCTTTATAAAATTTTTATAAGAGTACAATTACATAATCATATATCTGGCACCAAACATACTACGTGCATTGCAGTTCCTGACTTAGCTGCGATATGTCAAACATGGGTTTCACAACTTGAAAGTGCATAGAACAATAACTTGACCTTTTTATAAATGTTTCATTGATCTTTAAAAAAAATGCTTTCAAAACTGTCAACAGACAGACTGGATTATAATCTTTAAGTTGGCTTACTCTGAGAAATGAATTAATTCCTTATCTGATGATCTGAAGGCTTGCATTTGTTTCAATAGGAAACTCTTACAGATATAGGTAGCCTATTCTATGCTTACAATATTTCCACCAGCAGTGCTTACAAGGCATTATGAAAATCTTGTGGAGGTCTCCTGTCTCAAACATAGAGATGCTGCAGTGAATTAACAAGAGCAAGAGATTTGATTATTATGAAACAGTAACTTAGTTTGGTCATGTGGTTTTTTACCTTGAGGACAACTTACTTCCTATGTATGGTGAACTTGTTCAAGAAAAGTGCTTGCAAAGCAAGCTGAGTAAAAGGTACAAAGATTGCCTAAGAGATACACTGAAGGAAGATGTCATCTCGGGCAACAATCTAACATCAGACAGAAGTCTGTGGAGGAATCTGATTTCTCCATGTGTTAGAGATTTTGAAACTGTAGAGCAAAATCTACTGAAAAACATCTGGAAGATGTTGAACCCCTTTCAGAAAAGGGATCAAAGCAGTCCCTGGCATACAATGTTTTGTTTGTGCATGTCTATCAAAGTCCAGCTTGATGGGTCACCAATGGTGCCACTTTACCAGGGATGTCAAATACCAGTACAACATGCAGCTCAACTCTGAATGTGACTTGTGCAACAAATTGTGCTTATTGACAGACACTGAAGTGTCATTTATTAAAAAAAAAAAAATGCTGAGATATATCAGCAGGAGAGATTTAATACCATACTTGAGTGATATACAGGTCATTAGTGGGATTGAAATTTCTCCATAGATGTGATGTCATCTGTGACAATGAAATATATGCAAATATATTTCTGTTTTTATATGAGAGGTTATAATGCTCAAACACACACACACACACACACTGCTGAAAAGGAGTGTCAAAATGTTTTACTCAGTTATTAACATATGTGGGGAAAAAAATGTTCAGATTGACTAAATGATTTGCTATGTTGTTCTGACCGGTCACCATCTGCCTTGACAATAAGAGCAATATATTTCTACCATTTTATTAGATGATTATTTTTACCTAAGAGATGCAGCAATAAATTGTTTCATGCAGTGGTTTCAATCTTGGTTGACTAAATCTGTTTGATATCTATGACTCCATCTTGTAGCATTGCTCTGATATTTGACAATAAGTTGCAATGGAGAAAGACTGAGATTATATTTCAATTATTCATATTTATTGAATACATTATTTGTTTGACTCACCTGTCTTCATTTTCTACCCTATGTTTGTGTATGTATGTATACATACATACACATACATATATATATACACATACATATATGTGTTTTGTTTTTCAACCCATGATTCATCCCGAAAATAAATTTTGACTACGAAGGAGGGATCCTTTAAGTTTTTTCTTTTTTTTTCTTTGATTATTAATCTCATGACTTTGCTTCCACTTCTGTTTTGTTGGCTGCTAGAGCTGCTGCAGCTGCAGCTAAAGATGCAGCCTCTTCCTCTATTGCTCTGCGCCGGTAGTCCTCACGCTTTCTATTGAAATTTTCTCTGGCCAAGTCCATTTCCAACTACAAACAAAATGAAAGCATTGAGAAAATTAATTTTCCTGCCTTAAGTCAAGAATTCCTATTTATAACTTTAGGACAAAGAGTTGCATTTGCTGAAGAGTAATGTGGAATTAAGATTTTAGACAGGGACTTGTATTCAATGTTTAATTTATAAGAAAAAAGCATTAGGCCAATGTGTTTCTCTAATAGAGGGTTCTTGATAATATTTTAATAATTGATATTTTTACCAAACTTAATATAGAACCTAGCAAAGGTATAAATCTCTCTTCTTCCCATTAGCTATGGGTAAATAGTAGTACTGACTGGGTTCTATAGCCTTGAGTGGCAACCGGTTTAGGAGAAGGAAAACTCTGAATTCAAAAATGCATATAGTCCTGGCAAAGCACACACTATGCAGTTAAGGAAATGATTGTTTGCATTGACTCAGTGATCCCGACTACAGTCGACTCCTTTTTTTTTTTCTTTTTTTTTTTAATATAGAACAAGACTAAAAAAAAAAAAAATTATTAAATATTTAAAATGATTAGAATCAAGAAACTTAAAATTGTCACCTCATGACACTTAAAATTGTTACCTCATGACACATAGATGTAAAAAGCTCACCTGCATTTGTCTACATGTTTCCAACTGTTGAACTTTACTAAATCGTAGGTGCTTCAGTTCATTATTCATCCATTCTTTGGCTGATTGTCGTTTGTTCTGGTATTCATAAATTTGATTTTGTTTCTCCTTTTGCCGTTCATTTAACAGATCTTCATCAACATATCGTACTGTTAAATCATCATCTCTTAAAAAAAAAAAAACAAACTTTTATATTATGACTGAGAAGATTACTGATAAATATTTTATGCAGTAGATATCAATTACAATGTTACCTTAAATAATAAATCATTCCAAAAGGAAATCACAGCAGAGATAAGTAACTTTCCATCACCTGCATGCAGAAGGGTATTCAATTCAATATTTACAAGTTTGCTGTTACATTCTAAAATGATGGCATATGTAAGTAATTATGCAATTTCATTGTAAATTAATCACAAAATCTTTGTTGCTCCGTATTTTCTTGTTTATTTCTTGAATATTGAAGTAAAATTAACACAATTGATCATCTGCCTTGTCCTCATGCTATAAATAAAAACTAATAAATGAAATTCATTTTTAATACATATAAATACAGAAAATAAAACTGCAACACTGAGGGAGAATGCTGATTTTTGATCTGGATATAATATACAGTAGATGACAGGCTAGGAGGATAGCTATTTCAATCATTGCTATCTTACAATGTAGTAACAATCATACCAGGAGTATCTGAGCATTAGACAGTGACATACATTCAATAAGACTTAGTGTGAAGGAAGGATCCCATGCAAGCCAGTGACATGTGATCCTCTTGTTCAACTAGAGACATTTCAGAAAGGAACAGATTGTGAGCAGGATGTTCATTTTGTAGAATTGCTACATATGTTAAACATGATTAATCAATGGTTCTGGATGACTCCTGCCTAGATTAATAATGCATGGAAAAGAGAGCTGTGGCTTGCAGATCACAACATTTACCCAATTGAGAAGCCCGAGAATGTACCACCTGCATACTCTGCAGAGGGCTAAGACACTTTCCCCACAAGTTGGTGGTGGGGGGAACTCTTGACTGTGAGTGGCTGAATTCTGGATATACTTGAGCTAGGTGAGCAGTTGAAAAGGCTTCATATGATTGATCAACTGGTGACACCAAGCCATATATATATATATATATATATATATATATATATATATATATATTGGATTAACATCAGACCCATTTCCATATCTAAGTGTCAAAAGGCAGTGATTGAGGGCCATTTGGTTCAAAAGACTCAAAACTTCAACATGGCTGTAAAACACCTGATGTTACAGTAAGTCTTGGATAGAGTAGCTAATGATATGCAGGTGCTTTAAGTTTTCTAGTAGATTACCATACAAGTAGGTTGTTTGTGTATCTTTGCCATGTTAAGGTGAATGCCAGGTGTTCTTCAAGATGTTTAACAACTTCCCAGACCTATACCTCATTGAACATGTATAGGACAATACTTGACTCCTTCAGTTGGACCAACTACAGATTTTGTTGTATTACAAGAGCAGGACATATAGAATAATGTATTGCAGTCATATTTACCATCTGTACAATCATGTGCAAGCAACAGTATAGGATTTTACAAGGTTATACAGTGTATTAATATAGGGTCTGTATTGTTGATACACTCTCTATTTTGAAATCTATGTACATAAATTTTTTTTTTTTTTCAGAAAAAAGTTTTCTAACTCTACAACAGTATGAAACATTAAACTTGATTAATGGTCCCTATTGCTCCAATCTTTTGATGTTTCCATGAATATCTTAAAAATGAAGAAACATTTTAAATATTAAGAGTGCTTTAGTATGTTCGGTATTTTAAAGCTTAACTTAATATAGCACAAAGTCAAATGAAAGAAGGGAAATTGGTATATGATGTCTCTAAGTTTAGATAGCCTACTTGCTTTAAAAGAAATAAGAATTTCAAATCGTGGCTTTTACTTGGAAATACCAAATCATAACCTCAGTGGGAAATTTTAAAAAAATCTTTAATAGTTGCTACCATTTTTAACAGTTTTGGTTAATAAATTTAGAATACATGAAGCAGGAAACAATTCAACCCACTGTATCTGACAGATTATATATTCAAAATAGGAAAAGATTTCCATCTTTCAGTTATTCTAATTTAAACCTGGTTTGCAATAATCACCTAATATCAATTATCATTGAAATTTTAACCTATAATTGAAATTATAATTTAAAAATAGACTATTATTGTGTGACACTATTTAGCTATGGTAATTGATTAACTAATTAGCTATAAAAATTAAACAAGAAAATACTGAGAATGGAAAAGAAGATATCCCAAGTTTAAAAAAAAAAAAGTTACTTTTCTCAAGAAACCAGGGATTTGTGTCAACAATAAATTCACAGAAGAGCAATGTGGCAAGCTTTTGACAATTGATGATAGTAAAAGCACTGGTTGATAGAACACAAAATAGCTGGAAAGCACTGAAGATATCATTCAAAATCACAAAGATTTTAGGAGTTGGCCAAGTGACAGGGCCATGTGTTATTTGTAAGACAGAAAAGGGAATTTCATAAACAAAGTTGATAATTCTGAACTTGGAAATCCTGAATAAAGAGTTAATTAATGAAGCAAGCTTAGCCACACCCGCACGACTAAGATGCCATTGGTTGGGTGGTAACAAGTGTGATAGGCAGGGGTAAATTGGTAAGAAAGACTGGGAAATTACTAACGTCCACCGAAAGGAATTGGTATGAGGTACCAATGTGAGAAGGAGGGGGTTTAGGAGGATGACTATACTGCAACCTCTCCTCACGGATGAAGGCATCCCCCCCAAAAATGGAAAAGTAATTAATTTTTCAAAAATGGGAAGTAATTAATTTTCCTAGCCCAACAACAAAGGGACCCCCTGTAGAAATTGGGGAATTACCGAAAATCTCAGGCTGCATCTATCCCCACACCAGTTTTTGGTTGAAGTCCATATAAGCAAGCTAGCACGAACCAGAGAGTTGCTGCGTAGAAGCTGGCCAAGAGATTCCACAATTTTGGCCTCCAAACTCATGTTTTTACAAAACAGCAAGGTATACTGATGAATGAAGCTAAGCCAGCATGTAAAAACTAAACCAGTTGACTTAGAAGACCAGAACTTGCCAAGAAGTATAATAGTGTCACTCTCAGAAGAAACGGGTTGGGAAAAACACATACTCCTGTATAGAACAGACTGATAAAAGTTTATTTGCTTTCTTTCAACATACCCAAATTTTTTTCTGGTTTTTATCTATTTCTTTTTACGCTTGTGCGATATCACCTCCAGTTTAGACTCATCTTGCACTACAACCCAATGCCTGATTGATCTCATTTACTTGAGATCAAAGTAGTTACTTTGTTAACCTGTCATTGGAAGTGAGCTGAGAACAATGGAGCTGGCGTCAAACTGGTTGCATCTGGTGTGAAGCCATTAGAATCAACCAACCATCCCATTTGGTACCCTGATCAAAGGATCCCACCGGGTAGTGATGACTGCCAATTGACCGGGTCATGTGTTGGTGGCAGCAACTAAGAGTCAACCCCAAAGCGCTGGTAGGAATAAGTATCACAGCTTCATGCTGCGACTAGGAGTTGACCCTGGGCTGACAATACTGTCACATATTGGTACCGTGATAACAAGGATTTGACCCTGAATTAACCAATGTCACAGGAGTTGCAGTGAACCAAAGAATTTTGCCCCAGGACAGCACACAGCATCTCAAGTAGGCCAATGGAGAAAAAAATAGTGGGAACCAAAGGAATTTGGTTATTTATAGCCATACGGTTCCAAACACTCTAGATTTTTTTTTTCTCTCTGACCAACAACTTGAAAATCAACAGACAAGCAGAGAGGAATGACCTGAAGATCAACTGACAGGTGAGACACTTTTCGGTTATTCTCCCAATAATTTTTTTTGATTGTGTTTGTTTTTTTTGTTTTTTTTTTTTAATTGTATAAAAATGTCTGACCATAAATCGGATAGGTTAGACATAGAGGAAAAGGGGGTTGAACAACAGTTGCCAGTAGACCTAAGAAGATTGTTAAGCGGACCTAAGATTCTGGCCTTTAACGGGAATTCTAAAGATTTGAGGGAATGGTAGGCAACCTTATATGAGAGTCATACATTTTATGGTCTCTTGGACCTAGAAACCCTGTACTTGGCATATGATGCCATGAGAGGGAAGGCATCAGAGTTTATGAAGGGACTTTTAGTTGGTGAACCCCAATTATCATGGGAAAGGCTGGATGAACTATTAATTCAGGAGTTTGCTGATGAAGAAACAGCGATCAAGGCTATGACACATTAGCTTTTCTGGAAGAGGTGAAATCAACGCAGTAATGCAGGCCCAGTTAGTCGATATGTATGTGGAAGTGCTCAGTGACAAGCATATTTGCCACAATGTCCTTAAAGAGGGACCACTAAAGTTATTGGCGGCAGTGGTGCTGGCTAAGGAAAGCCAGGGAGTTTGAGAGAAGGTAAAGAATAGGAAAACACAAGGACAGGGTTGGGGGTAGGAAGAAAGGGGGGAAGGAAAGAGAACCCCTGTGTGGAATCGAAGGGTTAAGAAAGAATTGGAAGAGCCTGAGAAATGGGAAGAGGATCCCAAAACAAAGGCTTGGTCAACAAAGCATGGGTTTTATAAGCCCATGCCCAGATAGTAAGGACTAGTCTGCTGGACATGCAGTTACGAGGATCATAGAGCGATGGACTGTGATGAAGTGGGGATTGCCTCCAGATTTTGATCAAGATAAATGCACTAGGTGTCGGAAGAAAGGACACCTAGCCAAGTGGTATGGTATAAAGAAGGGTACTCCACCAATATTATTGAAGAAGGCTGCCTCTGAAGGACAGGACCAGGTAAAAGCCAGCAGGACGCTCCAGAAGTAAGAGTGAGGGTGGCCCATTTAAAAAGAAGAGGTATAAGATGTTGGACATGTGGCCAGGAGAGCCATTTAAGAAGGTGGCAGGTCCTCCCAGAAGTAAAAGGGCGGGTGGCCCATGTGAGAAGAAAAGTTATGAAATGTTGGATATGTGGTCAAGGTGGGCCACTTTGCAGTAAACTGCTCAACAAGAATAAGGTGCTGGTTTTGAGGAGAACCAGGGCACCTGAAAAGGAATTGTCCTTATAGATATAACAAAAACTGGGAAAGGTCCCATCGAGACCACCCTGGCAGAGA